TTCATATTAGTATTACTAATTTGTATGCTTATTACAATATTGTAGTCATCTTTTACTTATAATTTCATTCTTGTTTTATTTATTTAAACTATTAAAAAATTTAAGACAAACTATATCGCGTGAAAAATTGATATATTCTTCTCATAATCAAAAAGTGTATATTACTAGCAATTTGAATATTTACAAAGATATGAGCAAACTAGAGGTTTAAATTACTTAATACATAAAAATATATCCCAAAAAATAAAGTAATTAATAATTTTATTTGCTTTTTTATGTATAGTTGATTCAATGCTACTGTTTTCGTTAAAAATTAATTTATTCTAAACTCTAGACATATTGATTTAAGTAATATAATAATTTATACGCATAGATAATATATACTTTGTTATTGCTTAGGCTTTATGGTCATTATTTTTTCCAATAACAAAAGTGAATAAGCTAGAAATAAATAAAGAATAAGTTTAATAATATTAAAATTAATATATAGATAATGATAGCAAAGAGAAGAAAGTAGTTGATCACATGAGAATGAAGAAAATTTAAAAAAATATATTAAAAAAATTGGCAAGTATAAAAAAGGGCAAAAAAGGAGAGAAAAGAAATAAAATAATAATTAATATGGAAAGGGCAATTGCATCCTAAAACATAAATTTGGAAGGTAAAGTATCTATCTATTGAGTTGAAGGAGATAAAGTGCAACGAGGGGTAAAGTTCAGGGAAGTTTAATGCTTTAACCCTAAAACCTAATATTTTTTAGATTTCCAGAAGAATATTATGTTTTAGTAACATTATTATTGTAATTAATCTCTATACATGCATAATATCTTCTTCGAGAGTATATTAACCTTTATTGATTTTGAAAAACTTGTGAATTTACGTTCTTGAACATGATATTTTACATTGGAACTAAGACATGATATTTTACACCCAAAATGTCATCAATTTTATCCTAATTGTTGTAACATGATAACTAGTCGCAATTTGCAACATTGAGTTACTTAGCCGATTCCCGTATTTGAACCAAGCAAGCCAATGCCGTAGAAGCATAAGTAGTAAGAATCATATTATGGACCAAAATGTTGTAACATGTTAAATGACAACATGTTCATCAGTGATTTTTTTCCCTGTAAAATAGAGTATGCACGTAAAGTATGCAATTGGAAATTAAAGGTCAAATCAACATCCACAGCCCTCTGGTCTCCTTTGGCATAGTTTGAAAGGGTTATTATCACTCCTTAAACTATATCACTACTATCACTTTACCCCTTAATGTTATCTTTTAGTTACTTTACCTCAATAAGTAATTCAACTCAACATGTTAATAAATTTTGGACAAAAATACTCTTTTATTTTAGGGTTAATCACATTTTATCCCCTTAAAGAATAACCAATTTCTCAGTTTACCCTCTAACCTTTAATTTTGCTCACTTAACCTCATTTAGGACAATATTACCCTTGTATTATTTTGACTTATTATTTTGACTTTTCATTTACCTTGTTTTCCTTTCTTTTATTTCTTTTTCTCTTTCTTCTTTATTTAATTCTTTCTCTTTTTCATAAAAATCTTCATCTTAATGATTGAAATTAAAAAAGAGAAATTGCAGAGATCTATCTTCTCCTTAAATGATTAAAAAAATATTCAAATCACTTTTCTAAAATACAATTTTTTTAGCCTTTCAATTCTTTTAATTTTGGGATTTCCTCTTTCCTTTCTAGTTTCTCATTTTATTCTCAAGAAAATATCATAAAATGAAATTGTTTTCCTTTCTTTTATTTCTTTTTCTCTTTCTTCTCTCTTTCATCCTTCCCAATAGAAATTCCATTTCAATGAAAATTTTTGTTTTGAGTTTGTAATTGCATATTTCTGGGTGAAGGTTTAAAAGGCATCAAAAACTAATTTTGATTTTTTGTATGATGCCACGTGTCACAAATTTCAATTAATGATTATTAATCAAGTCATAATTTCATCTTAAGATATTTTCTTGGGAATAAAATGAGAAACTAGAAAGGAAAGAGGAAATCCCAAAATTAAAAGAATTGAAAGGCTAAAAAAATTATATTTTAGAAAAGTGATTTGAATTATTTTTTAATCATTTAAGGAGAATATAGATCTCTGCAATTCCTCTTTTTTAATTTCAATCATTAAGGTGAAGATTTTTGTGAGAAAGAGGAAGAATTAAATAAAGAAAAAAGAGAAAAAGAAATAAAAGAAAGGAAAACAAGGTAAATGAAAAGTCAAAATAATGCAAGGGCAATTTTGTCCTAAAGGGGGTTAAGTGAGCAAAATTAAAGGTTAGGGGGTAAACTGAGAAATGGGGTATTCTTTAAGGGGATAAAATGTGATTAACCCTTTATTTTATAGCATTACTACATTGTTATTATCACATTATTCATTTAGATTATAGTGATACACTCACTTTAGTTTCTAACATTATTTTCTAAACATTTTACCTCATCGTTAATCTAACTAGTATGGTTAAAAAATTTTAAATATATTTACCCTTTTTTATATATAATTAAAAATAAAAAGTTGGACTGGTTATTCTTCCTTTTTTCCACTTTAAGAGATCAAAAAATATAAAAATAAAAAAATTTTCTCAAAAATTTTTTTCACACTTATTGATGCTCGGAAAAGAAAAAGACATAGGAAAGAAGGAGACAAAAAATTAGATTTTGCAAAGAAAGAAAATAAAGAAAAGTCTAACATTATCGTATTACTTTAAGATTGTCGAGATTAGGATTGGAATTTAATAGTAAATAGAAAAGTGAAATAATTTTAAAATAATAAAAGTATTCAATTCTTTATTATTTGTAATTTTTAAAAAAAGAATTGAGCTCTCTCTCTCTCCCTCTCCCCTCCCCCTCTCCATCTTTCTAATTTGTTTTCAATATTAATAAGATTGCCAAGAAGAAAGAAATTAATTCTTTAACTTTTTTTTTATACTAAAAAGAAGAAGAGTCACTTTAAATTTTTTATTATTTTTATTATGCAAATAGAAGGCTATTTGCTTTTAAAGTTTTTTTTAACTTGCTAAGTTAGTTTAATGGTAGGATAAGTTGTCTAAAAAATAATTCTATGGGGTAAATTGATAATGAGACTATAGTTTATGGGGTTAAAATGATAATAATTTTAAGGGTTAAACATGTCTTTTCACTTTAATTAACAAACTCCGTTAAGTTTGACCGTTAGTCTTGGGGATAAAGTGACTAAAAAATAACGTTAAAGGGGAAATTGATAGTGTCACCAAACGTTAAGGGGGTAAAGTAATAATAGCCCTAGTTTGAAATATTGGCTGACAAGGGAATATTGGAATGTTGCAAGCGATCTGATGGCTATTCATTCACTCAAAATGTGGCTTTAGGATTCTTTACATTGCATGTGCATTTTGGTTCTTTAATTTAGTGCGAGATAATGTGGGTGCATTGGCCAATTGATTGATGTTAAAACTTCGGAGATAGAAAAAGGTGTTAATAAAATATATTGTTAAATGAAAATCAGTTTTCTCATTAATATTAGATTTTTAGGTTTTGTTTAATATTGCACTCGTTAAAATAAATCTCATGTGTTAATTTTACTTTACAGAATAGCGAAGTTAAAAAATCAGGGAAAGATTTAAATGCAAAGGAAGACAACTCCAATCAACATCTTTAATATTCCTATTGCATAGTAATTAAAAAAATCCTTGGTGGCCTAAGGCTGCCATGGCTATTGCTACATTCTTGGTTAGAAAAATAAGACAAAGAAAAAATAAATGTGAGGAATGTTTTTTTCTTTTTTCCTGCGATCTTCCTATTTTACTCCTAAAGTTTGTGAGGCATGAGATATAGATGTTTTTTTTTTTTTTTTTTACAAGAATATGAGTAAACATCAGTCGAGGCCTCGAGGGACTAAAAATTAGGGGTGGCAATTCGGGTCCAAATCAGGCAGACCCGACCCGTTAGAAAATTTATTGACCCGAACCCAAAAATTTCAGGTTGACGGGTTGGCGGGTCGACCCGAAATGATCCGAAATTTAATTTTAATTTATTAATTTATCACTGTAATTTCTAATAAAATTAATTTCTCACAAAACTAATTACATAATCAAGTAATAAAAATTTAAATAAATAATTCCAAACCAAATCTAAAATAAATTAAACACCGTAAAAGTGTTTTATCCCAAACAAAATATAAAATAAATTAAAACAGTATAAAAGTAAAAAATAATATAATATATTATTTGTCCAAATATAATAATTTCAACTTCACACAAATTAAATAAATTCATTTAGGATTAAGTAATTAATGCCTTTGAAAAAAAGAATAACTTAGTTTAGTTAGATAAAATTATTTTTATGTTTATTAAATTATTTTTAATTCGTAAACGGTCATGTCGGGTCATATCAGGTCACCACGGGTTGACCCGAAATCGACCTGTTTTCTTTTCGGGTTCATCGGATTCAACCCGATTCTGACCCGAATTTCCGAAATCTCAACCCAAACCCATTAATTTCGTGTTAGGTTCGTGTCGTGTTTTCAGGTCGTGTCGAAAATTGCCACCCCTACTAAAAATGCTCATTTTTCATTTGTGAGGATCGGATCGAAATGAAGTTGCCACTCAAAGGACTAGAGTGACTTAATAGAACTCAATTTGAGGATCGGATTGAAATGAAGTTTCCACTGAAAGGACTAAAGTGAGATACTCTGACTTTGAGGTACTCAATTGAAATTTCTGGCCAATTTGAAGGACTCATTTTGAAATTTAGAATTAATCCTGATTAGAAGCAGAGCACTACGAGGCTGATAATTTAAAAAGTGCTTAAAACAGTTTGCATTAATAATTAAAACAGTTTAATTAGTTGGACGTTATACCATTCATGGAACGAGGGAATCTTTTTAACCCTCATCTTCCCTCCCTTCACCTCCTCTGAAACTGTTAACTCCTGATCAGAGTCACACCTAATTCTCTGTCCCTCAATGCACCAATAATGCTCGATCATTATCAGTGAAGAACCAGACCACTCTCCAATTCATCACCTGATTCTTCATTAAGAAGCTGAGAAAAAGACCACGACCACGACCACTCCTCTTTTTCATCTTCAAGATTCAACATTCTCCGTTCATCAATTCTTGAAGAATCATCCACAACCAAACTTCAGCCATCACCTAAAAACTATCACCAGTGATTTCTTCCAAAACCTCCCCTTTTCTCTCTCTTAAATAGATCTAGATACCGTCCTTCGAGCTTTCTTAGATAGATTTAGATACCGTCCTTCAAGCTTTCAGAGAAAATCAAGAAAAAACCAGAAAAGGGGGAAAAACGGAGGAAAAACAAAGAGGGTAGCAGCTCTTGCCTTCTCCATTATCAGAACCGTCTCACCAGGACCTGCCACCACCAACGTCAAATACCACTGTAAAGCTATTCTTTCTATCTCAAGCCTCTTTTTTTTTTTTTTTTTTTTTTAAACTTGTGAAAATTATGTGAGATTTATGCTTATTGTTTTTCTTTCCTCTTGCTTATGTGTTTTCCTATCAATTCATGGCTATGAATGGATGAAATTTGCTGTGTCTCTGTAATTTCATGAAATTTATTACATAATTGAGTGTGTGAAATTTGCTGTGTCCCTTGAATGTTAAGGTTGCTTTGCCAGTTTGCCTATACAGGTGGTAGTTTCAGTACCGTTATTCCTCAGCTTTTCCAATGGAAGCCTTGGAATTAATCATTTTATTTTAATTTATTTTCATGTGCTATGCACGTTTTAATGCGTTTATATGCTTTTGTGTTAATTAAGTGCCTGTTAGTTGTATCGCTTGAATTAACTCATTTTGACCTTAAAATTAGAAGAATAAAATTAAACTCGCAACGAGTTCACGAAGGTAGGGAGGTATGTGGGGCTAAAACCTTGACCTTCTTCTCTTACAAATGTGGCTTCCGAGCTCATCTATGATTTCAAAAGATCTGGAGAGGATTTTAATTTGTCTTTTCAAAAATAAAAAACTTCTCTTTTATAGGTAGCTCGATAGACCTAAATTCCAGGCCGAGCAGCGACTCCAAAATTTTCAAAAGAATTCTTTTCCTAGACTGTAATGGGCCTAAACTGTTGCCTTCACCAAGTCTCATTGTAAACCCTTTATTTTTCTTTTCTTGACTTTTAATGATTTAAAAAACCCAAAATTCATTTTAAGCTAAGTTTTTAAATTTTAAAAATGAGGTGCGACAGTTGTGATAACTGTTGCGGAAGCCCTACCAAAGTTAAGGTATAACGAGTAAATTATTGTACCTAAAATTGCAAAATGGTAATTCCCAGGAAATATTTGGTGAGGCACACTGGCCTGCTTAAGTACCAATTTCCTAGACAGAATCACCTATATATGCACTTAATTGCACAATAACTCACTACAAATATACCTACAGATATAGCTACTAAATAGACAATAAAATAGAACACCAGAATTTAACGAGGTTCGGCTAATTTGCCTACGTCCTCGGACACTACCGACAATTTAATATTTCACTAGAAGAAATATTACAAAGAGAGAGAAGAAAGCAAGTTATTGGCTCTTGCTTGGTGTACTTGAATTGGTTTGTTTGAGAGCTATTTAGTAGCTATATTTGTAGGTATATTTGTAGTGAGTTATTGTGCAATTAAGTGCATATATAGGTGATTCTGTCTAGGAAATTGGTACTTAAGCAGGCCAGTGTGCCTCACCAAATATTTCCTGGGAATTACCATTTTGCAATTTTAGGTACAATAATTTACTCGTTATACCTTAACTTTGGTAGGGCTTCCGCAACAATTGGTATCAGAGCGCAACAATAACAAATAGTTGATCATTTCTCAAGTTGAACCTTTTTTGTTGCCTTTGTTTCTTGCTCAATTTGTTTTGTGCTTGTCTAGTGTATAGTAATTAATATGAGTTGTTAGATGCATCTGGTTTTCATTTACGGATTTTTAGATTTGTGGTAAACTAGGTCATCGTAGAAGCAGTAATGATTTTGATACTTTTAAAGTTCAAGTTTAAAGAAAAACTGATCATGGCCATTGCCACCACTTTTGTGCAGGAATCAGATCCATATGAGCCATGTCACTGACATCCTTTTCTGGTAGTCTTCACCTTAATCATCTAGTGCTGTTTATGCTCTTCTTTTTACTAGCTCTTGTCCAACTCATAGAATCAAGTCCTAGAGCTTATGAGGAAGCTCTGATTTGCGGAAATAAAACTGCCTCTACAAATGATTATCCTGCATTTAAGCAAAATTATATATCAGCAATAGACTCAATTGTCGATCCCTTGGTGTCCACTGGTGTTGTAGATATTGTTGCTGGGAATGGAAATAGTTCGACTGTGTTTTTATTTGGAGCATGCATGAAAGATTTATCACCTGGTGAATGCGATAGCTGTTCTTCTGGTATGCTAGTTAAAATTGAACAATGTCAAGCCATAGAAACTGGAACACGTGCTGGGAGACTATATCTTGGGGGTTGTTTTATAAGGTTTGATGATCATAAGTTTGAAAACGAGATAACTGGGCCAGAGGATCTAGTTAACTGTGGCCAACAGGTGGAACCACATTCAAGTTTTATAGGGGTGGTAGACCAACTATTATCCAGTTTGAGCGGTGAGGCACCTGGGAATGGAGGGTTTTATTTGGTTTCTAAACAAGAAAATGGAGTTTCAGCTTATGGGTTAGCCCAGTGCTGGAAATACCTAAATATAGACCAATGCAGGACCTGTTTGAGTGATAGTGCAATCCCAAAAGCCAAGACGTGTCTTCCCAAAGCTGAAGCTACAATTCTTAACGCTGGATGCTACTTGAAGTATTCCACTCAACAATTTTATAACAAAGCATCTGAAGGATTTCGACATTCTTTGACAGGAGGTGAGTTGGTTTTAATCTGAATTTTGTTGGAATATATACTTGGATATATTATAATACTAACTTTAGCTTCACATGTACATTTCAGGTCTACTTTACTCGTCATTGGTATTCACCCTTGCTATTCTGAGCCGAGTAGCAGCAAATTAATTAAGTGGATCACTAGCCAGAGGAAATCTGTTTTCCAATCTTGTCAATTTGATTGATAATTAAATTTAAAGTTTCTAAGTTTTTACCTACAATAATGAAATTTTACTTTGAAACTGTTGATTAATGATATAACTCATGATTCAAATGGTCTAGTTATCTCAAAATATGTGTTTATATGAGTTGTAATATTGGAAGGATCATTCTTAATAACTCTTACACTAAATTCGATGCTTAATCCAGAAGAGTTTCATTCACTTGATCTCTATTGTTGGCAAATCAAGTTAGCAATGCAATTTTATGGGGTCCTCTGGACTGGAGTTACTAGATATTGAAATTCAAATTCAGTGCAGGACTTGAATTTATTGTTGATGCATTTGAAACATTCATATTTTCTAAAACCTCTAAAATCTAGGAGTACCGCTGTTCCTTTGGAATTTGACATGCACGATCAACCCGCAAAACAAAGATTAAAGAAAGTGAAATAAAGTAATTTTTTGGCTAGGTGAGACGCGGATTGGGTCGCTTTCTTAAGATAATTCGGGCCTCTCTCGGGATTATGCTCAATGCAGAAGGTTGATGGCACATCGTTTATGGGATACATTAGCCCAGCCTTCATTGTTTCTTCTACTAAACCTACACAATTTAGAGAAGTTAAAACTTTTCTCAACACCTTACTAATGCCCAATAGCAGTGAGAGGGAGTAAGGTAAAAGATCCAATCCTTTAGAGATAGCAAGAATGAGTCTCAAACTTAGTTGATAGAAGCCTCTATTTCTAGGCTAAAACTTGGAGTATTAAAATACCACCATTAAGTGGAATAAATACCTCATATTTTCAGCTACAAAATTGAAATGGTCTAGATTCATTGTATAATAGTCAAAATTCACTAAATAAATTCATAAAACCTAATCATTACATAGGTTACAAATACAAGACATAAATCTCATAAGTTACCCTTTTGAATGGTTGATTTTGTAGCTAAAAATTCATTAAAGAATTTGTAATTTATTGGATTTGAATTCAAAATAAGCATGTGCATGAATTCGAAATAATAATATGATATTTTTATTAAAATATCCAACAATTCCCCACTTATTTTAATAAAAATAACTCGGGCATACAATGAGAACATCACGCCTTATGAAAGTGGCAATGCCTTTATACTTCCACTTAGTATTTCAATTTTCCCACATTAAAATCATAGTGAACCTAGCCTTTAAACTATGCTTACTTGAGGATACATAGAAAACTTAATACACATGATATTCAAGGTGTTTTAACAATTATGTATTTTACCCCAATTTTCATGAATGCTCTAGAGAGTTAACCCAAATTCTCATAAGGGTGGCCAAACCCTTACACTCATATAAGTGAGTTTATTAAGAATGTTTTTGTGACTAAAACAAAGGCTATAGAACTCATTAAGAGATTAATTCTCGACATCTCATATTCGTCACAAAATTACATGCATAGCATCATATGATTAGTCTAAAAAAAATTGCATCTATCACAACAAGCGACTCTATGATTCATTTGTCTCTGACCTAATTTTTGGGATCTCCAATCTCTAGGTGGTTGTATCCTCATAAGTTGCTTTTACACTTTTTGGCTTTAGTCCAATCTCTCATATTTGGGATAATTTCAAAAACCATCCTTGAGATTTCTACCTAGCACTCCTGTGGTTTCAAAAACATCATTGGTTCCCTTATTGTTAAATTTTTTAGCATTTTAAACCAAATTCAAAATATACTATTAAAATACTCATTTTAAGAAAAAGAACATAGTTTCTTTCCTACATCGCCCTTCAGTTGCCTCACTCTTACAAACCAAAAGGTATATTAATCAAAAGTTCAAAACAAAGGCAAAGCATGAAGATGTAATTATGATGGAATAAAATATAACAGCTGCAACTATAAGCAGAATTTTTTAAACTACAAAAAAAAAAAGAAAATTTTATTTATTATGTTTGCAAACTAGAAAAAGAAAATTTTTTTGGGTCATTTTGGGGATCAATTATTTGGTGCTATAATAGGGGGTCGATTATTTTGATGGAAAAGTAGAATTTTTCTACCGAAATGTTGCAATTTAGGGGATTGATCATGATTTTAAAACTCTGATGTTGGGCCCACATTTATTTTTTTGACATGCTAATTAGGTGCCTTTTAGTTTACCAAATAAAGAAATCTTTCCTTTATGTAAGCTATTTTGAGTGAATCTAAGAAATTTTATAAATTACTTAGTATTTTCATTTTTTTTATCCATATCGATGGCTTGGAAATTTAAAATAGGAAAAGTGTTTAAAATTGTATTTATAACTTATTTGAGATGGCTAAGTTGTAATCCTCTCGAGATGCAAATAGAAAAAGTTATTTCATTTATACTGTATTATGGATGATTTTATGTGTTTTTATAAATTATTCATAAATTTAAATTTTTATTATCTTTTTTATCCAAATTATAAAATAAATTTTGTTAATGGATCTCCCCGATAATAACTTATAATTTTTCATTAAAGAAGTAAACTAGTATATTTTCAAATATTGAGGGGATTTCAAATTGGTTTGTCATTACAATTAAGGAAACATAACAAAAGGACAATTCTGGAATGAAATTATCTATACACACCAAAAACTTTTTAGCATTATATTATGAATTGGGTTGATAATGTTACAAAAGTTTGAAAATAAGGGAGACAAGTAATATTTTTGAAACTTGAGGAGTACCAGGTGATATTGTAAGATACCTCAAGGGAGGTTTCTAAATTATCCCTTTAGATTAGACCTTGCATTATTTTACGGATCATTCTACTCAGAAAAATTTCACAAAACAGATCAAGGAAAAGATCATAATGGCAAACTGAATTGAGTCAATTGACCTTTTCGTTACCCTCTATATTATCCATCTTAGGCTGTTAGGCTTGTAGAAGTGAATTTTTGTTTTGACCAATCGTTGATTGTTGGGAAATAAAACTTTTGATCAATGTTTACCAATCTTTTCCTATCCCAGATTCTGAGTTGTAACTCCTAATCTTCTGCCAAGGATCATAACTGTCCTACTAGGCTTCGCAATCATATCATCATTTCTCAAATTCAAGTCTGTCAGGAATGTTCTCCCTTCCAAAGCTGATAACAGATTGTACAGGGGGATGCCTGGTTTACAGGAGCCAATGAGAGTTACTGGACATATGCCATAATGGAACACCAATCAATTCTCTTAGAGTAAAAAAGGGCTTGTTCTGTATAAAAATTAAAAGCTCAGAGAATCCTCTGTTGGTTCACTATAAATCTCTTTTGACTTGTGAATGTATGGATATTTCATCACTCACCATATTAAGGTGATTTCATTTGGAATCTACACCTGCAGATTCAACAAGCAAGTGCACGAAGTCATACATAGTTCAATTCATTAACGTGGTAAACACAAAAGTTGCATGTAATTGGAGATTTCGTTGTTCATGCATGGCACTCTGGTTATAGCTCAAAAAGGTTTGGCTATTACCTTTGCGTTTTCATCTTCTTGACTACCCAAGTCCATTTAACTACAAAAATAACTCAATTTAAATTTGCCAAGCAAATTTCCCGAGTACCACTAAACTTTTTCAATAGTCAAAATTTGGTCACTCAATTATTAATAATATGTTTGACAAAAAAAAATTATTAATAATATGTTTTTATCCACTGAACTATAAAAAATGTGAATTTTGGGCCATTTCATCTGATTCCACCGTTGATTATGCCCGATCTAAGGGTTCGCATGATTCACGAGACATACCATTAAAAGTTAGATCTAACAGAGTTAACGGTGAAATTAGACGAAATGGTTCAAAATATTCACTTTTAATAGCTTAGTAGATAAAAACATACTATTAATGATTAAATGGCCAAAACTCGACTATTCAAAAAGTTTAATGATTAGTTGGGTAATTTGCCCTAACATGGTTTTATAAATATTAGTAGTTGTTGCACGCTAAATACTCCATGCTTATTCAAATTAAAATAGATTTATTTTAGTAATAAAAGAGAAGTTCATTCAAATAAAACCAAAAAGATGCCTTTTGCTCACATTGCCTCCCTCACCATTTAATTGGATCAATTGCGCACCTGTGCTATTGCAATCTTTCCAACTAGGTATAACCGGATCCGAAACCCCGTTTCTGGTTGAACTCATGTTCAATGCATGTGGCTTCGTCAAGTGACCAAATCACTCCACGGTTTTCTGATTACAAAATTCTTTAATTACTCACTGTTGATGCAAAATTTTCTAAAACAATCTCCTAATACCCTATATTGCTAAAATTCCAATTCTTTTTTGCAACTTCGGGGTCTATTATCCTAGTTGAAATTTAATTTCATATATATAAATATTAGCTTACGACTACAATTTTTTGTATCTCTGCTAACACTGCAAAATGTATTGAAAAAAAAGTTATTGTTTAGTACATTATATTTTATATTTTATTAGTTCAAAATTTTAACAATGATTGCAATTATCCAAAGACTTTGACTTATTTTATTAGTTTAAAAGTTTGTCGATACTTTATTGTGAAAATTACTATAGCATGGGGTAGTTTCCTCAGTTCAAGAACCATATTCCTTGACACATGCCAAATCCAATCTGACATTGTGCAGTCCGATCCATTTGTACCTAATTGAAAAAATCGTAGGAGCACCGGGGATGGATTGGTTCAATTAAATGTTTGAGGGAAAATGTGAGGAAGAGGCATTTTTGAAGGGGTTTATTGGAATTAACCTAAAAGTTTGTAATGCAACCTTAAAAACATGAAGTGCCCAAGGGAACAGGTATTGTAGTTGATAGTACTGAAAAATTAATTACTAATAACTAGATCTTAGCCAAAACCCAGACAAAAAAAAAATATATTAATTACTAATAATTAACATGGGATTAAGGTTGAGAAGATAATGACTCTTCCTAAATTAAATACTGTCTATACTTAATCTATGCTCAGATAAATAATGCTGAAACATAATCAATAACTAACATGGAATCATCCGTAATTAGGCATGAGATAGTTATTGCTTTAATTAACCTTAAATAAAAAGCATTTATGAAAATTTCAAAAGTGGCACATTTAGCTAAAACAAAACTTGTTGTTCTCTGATATAACATATACTCCCTCCATCCC